CGACTCATAGAAGGGGGAACCTTGCATCTCACCATGCTACCCAACCTCGGGAAACGTGTGACAGGAGTCGGCTGAAACACACCTAGGATTTAGACAGACCAGGGCTCCCCTCAACAGCAACACATAGCGCAAGAGGAAGACCCAACCTATTATTTTGACTCCCAACACTGGCATCATCACATCCCTGCCTTATGGACTTGACCCAAGAGAGACGCTCCCGGGACATTTAAGCTGCTTGCTGGTCAGAGCTCCGAGAGATACCTAGAGGCTATGCAAGGGACTGTAACACCAATGCTTATCAGCAAGCACAACTGAAATAGCTTGCCAGAGCTCTAACAACAAGCTGTTCACCCCTAGATCCAACTTAGAAAACTTGACTAGACTGCCTAAACTATAGTATTCATAACTCTAGATAGAACCACTGCATGTTTATATTTTACTACACAAATGTTTGACCAGATTGGGCAATGAGTATTATCAGCGCGAATAACCCAACAATGAACCTACCATGAATCATACTGTTTAAGCGTGTTTAAAAATATAATGTTAGTTACTCAATCTTTATTTAAAACTAAAAATTTGTGCTAGATTTTGCAAGTACCTCTATAATTAACTGTCTATTATGCGTTGGAGAAATGCCTTTGGGGTACCTCACAACCGTCTGTTGTAAGCTTTAAGCACTGCAAAAAAAAAAAAAATACTCCATGTTAACATGTTCTTATCTTTTTTTTTGCAAGTTATAGGGCTATAAGTAAAAGTACAACATTGCTGTTTCAAAATATTTTTTAAATGCATCAATAGTGACATTGTAACACTTATCTGTCATAAAATAAATATACATATATATTTTTTTCCAAAGTAGACAACCCATGGTATTCAATATGGGTATGTCCAATCTTTATTAGTAGCCACCTAGTCAAACACTGGCCAAAGTTAGCGTTCATAATTTTTTTATTTGCATTTTTAACACACAAAGAAAAATAAATACTAATTTTGGTCAGTGTTTGTGACTAAGTGGGTACTAAAAAAGACTGGACATACCCCATTTGCAATACCTTGGGTCAGGGCTCTACCAATCCCAGGCGCCAGGGCGATCAGGAATTTGGCACCCACCACATGCCCACTGTTCTATTTTTGGCCTGCCGGTGCTCTCCGTGAAGATCAAATGTCGGGGCTTTAAGACACGGCTCCGTGTAACGTGCATGTGCGATCACGTGAGAGTCTAGTAACTTGCGTTAAGGAGTGGTAGAACATTGACTTCAGAATGAGTATAAAACCGATTTCAAAAGCAGTGGTAGAACAGTGATAGCTAGATAAGTCTATTTACATTATATATACATATATATTTCTTCTCATCCTCCGCAATATTGGTCTAAAAGATATTGCTCTCTTCTGGTGCTCCTAATATCTATCCCAGCGCTCTTTCAGTGTTTCTTTCTCTGGCTCTGCTTCTTCTGCCCAACTCCTCTCTGTTGGTGTCCCCCAAGGTTCAGTCCTTGGTCCCCTACTGTTCTCCATCTATACTGCCTCCCTTGGTAAACTCATTAGCTCCTTTGGCTTCCCATATCATTTCTATGCAGATGACACGCAAATCTACCTATCCTCTCGACTAGAGTCTCTGACTGCCTCTCTGCTATTTTTAACTGGATGGCTGCCCACTTCCTTAAACTTGACCAAAACTGAAATTCTGGTCTTTCCTCCCTCAAGTGTTGTTACTCCTGTGTCTGTCTCCCTCCAAGTCAACGGTGCCACCATCAGCTCCACCACGCAGGTTCGCTGCCTAGGTGTTCTCTTTGACTCCGACCTCTCCTTCAAGCCATCGCCAAATCCTGTCATTTCCATCTCAATAACATTGCGCACATCCGCCCCTACTTAACGCCAGATGCGACTAAGGTGTTGGTCCATTCCACTGTCCTCTCTCGCCTTGACTACTGTAAGCTACTTCTCAGTGGTCTTACTTGCTCCCAACTTGTGTCATTACAGTTCATAATGAATGCGGCCGCGAGGCTCATTTTCCTGTACGCCCGCACCTCCCATGCCTCACCCTTCTGTCAGTCCCTACATTGGCTTCCTATAAAATATACAGCTCAATTTAAAATTCTGGTTCTTGCTTTCAAATCGCTACATAATGCTACTCCCACCTATCTATCCTCCCTTATGCACAAGTATGTCCCATCTAGGCCCTTACGATCTGCTGAAGACTTACGTCTATCTTCTCTCCGTACTCCCACCTCTGATGCTCGCCTTGGAACTCGCTTCCCTCCTCTGTTAGATGCTTACCCAGTCTCCACTCCTTCAAAAAAATCATTAAAAACCCACTTCTTCATAAAAGCGTATCAATTAAACTGTTAATAGCTCCTGCCTGATTCGTCTTCTGCAACTGTCACTAGTTTAATACTATCCTTACCTTTTTGTGTCATTTTACCCCACTCCCTCTAGCATGTAAGCTCATTGAGCAGGGCCATCAACCCCTCTGTTCCTGTGTGTCCAACTTGTCTAGTTACAACTACATGTCTGTTCGTCCACCCATTGTAAAGCGCTGTGGAATTTGATGGCACTAATATATATATATATATATATATATATATATATATATATATATATAAAATAAAAATGTAATGCCCCATTTCCACAATACATTTGTATTAGCAGTAACAATTATGCCAGTAATAGTGATTGTAAAAGAATGTAGTCATTAATAAAAATAATATAGTAATGAATAAAAAAGTTCTCAAAGTGAATTTAAGTTGCTATGATAGCAAGTTTTTTTTTTTTTATTTGTGATGTTATTGTGCTCTTCTCCTCGTGGAATCTGCCACCTGACACGGTATAGTGCCTGCTGTCCCTATTTCCCCACTATTGTTTATCTAAAAAAAAATGCACACTTATTTTTTTATTAACTTGAAATAAAGTGATCATTTTCTTTTTTACTAGCCTTTTCCCTTATTAATTCCTTTTATCCATCGTCACAATTTTCCCCACAAAAAGCCATCCTCAAAGAGCATGGATCAGTTTATTTCTTCCAAAATGCACAGTAACATACTGCTGTTGTCCAGAAGTACGATATGTGACACATGCAGTTTGATTAACTGATTTTACTGTGTTTAATCTACTTCGGTGTCCTCGAAAGTCCTACGGCGTCCTAAAAAGGTTACTGGGCATAATCTGAGAGGCAAACCTTTGTGTAAACCTGTGTGCATCTAAAGATACACATCAGGGTTACTAACAAGAAGGGGTGCTGTGCTTAAAAAAAAAAAAAAAAAAGGGAGACATGTTACACATGTACAACCGCCCAAAAACACTCATGCTAAATTTTGGGAGACCATGCCATTACAGAATTAATAAGTACTAAAATGCAAACATCTTTCTTTGGGACTTGAGAAAAAAATGAAGCTTGCAGCAAAAGATGCAAAGTCAGAAGATGCAAATCAACTGCGGATGACATTTCTTTGCAAAGACCTCTTGTTTGGAAAGTGAAGTGGAACTTGTGCAAGTTGGGTCTGCAGTAACAAGAGAAGAACAACCAGCAGAGGAGTCCGCTTCAACAAGTCCATCTCAAAATGCTGGAAAAAGGAAGTTTAAGTTTAAGAAACTCACGTGGCTAAAATTTGACCATAACATGGGTATAGCCATATGTGAGATCTGTGCTTATTTCCCTGCAATTGCTGACCAAGCATCTAAGTGTGTGAAAGGGTTTTCAGGGCCTTTTAAACTGGAGACCCCCCAAAAAAAAAAAAAAAAAAAAAAAGGAAAGTCTCTCTAGCATCAAAAAAGTGTAAAGGCGAAACATGCTCTGTTGGCTCCAGAAGCTACATCATTGGCTGCATGCGTTAAGAAAATGCATCAAGGGATGTTCAACCACATGAGCGTTCTATTTAATGTGGCTTATTATATTGAAAAAAAAAAAAAAGGCCATATACAGCTTATGAAGGTTTGCTATAGCTGACTGGGAAACTAGGGATAACTGTGAGAAGGGAGTATGCAAATGACAAGAGATGCAAGGAATTCTCACATATTGCAAATGTAATAAGGAAAGAACTCATGTGCGAGCTAAAGGAGGCAAAATGTCAGTTTGATGCTAGACGGATCAACTGATAAAGGAGGAGTCGAAGAGTTAATATTGAATGTCAAGAACAATAAGATTAAAGAAGTATTTCCATCAGTCCTACCTCTTGAAATGGCTACTGCAGATGGGTACTTAGAAACCATCACTAAAAACCCTGAAGACACATGGCCTCTTAGACTGGCTTTCTTCAAGCAAGCAGATTGGATTTGCTATAGATGGTGCTGCCAGCATGTTTGGAGCTGAAAATGGACTGGTACAGAAAGCACGGCAAAATCTCCCATGTAATGGGCATTCACTGTGTTGCACACAGATCAAATTTAAGTGTATTAAGCCCCGTGGAAGACGGAAAATGCATTGATGACCTCGACTGTTTTAAAGAAGCTGTACCAATTTTACCAGTATTTAGGGAGGCATGGGGATCTGGATTGTAGTTTTAACACCATAGGTCAGGAATACGTTCCTGACCCTTTAGTGGTTTTTACTACTGTTTTGTCATTTTATTCAAGACATTTTGGTGCACGCTTCCCATAAAATACACTCGTTGACAGACATAACCTCAATGAGAATTGCACTTCACACCACTGAATGGGGATAATCTTCAGTTCACATGTGAGTACATTATAATGTAAATAATTTATATGGCTGCAAGTATTTGATTGCCTTGATAAAGGACCGGTGTAAATCCAAAACATCATATCAGTTCATCATCTTTTCGAGGACTCCCCGATACACTTTAAGATTGATATCTTTTGTAAAAGAGGACACCAGTACACAAACACTAAGTTACTGCATAATATCTACACTAATGTAATTATAGTCTGATTCAACACAACTCCGTGATTTCCACCTAAAATCTCTCTCAACGTGCGAGTCTATGTATATATTCAATTTTTTTTTCCCCATGCTTAAAAAAAAAAAAAAAAAACAGTGGACATCATTGATATATCTGTTTATTTTGGCCAGTATCAGAAATTTATTAAAACCAGTCAGAAAATAGATACACAACTGAATTATACATTATTCACCATTAAAACATACAGACTGCATGACTTAAAGCAGCTAACCGTTCAGTTTCTGGGTGACCCATTTAGAATTATGGAAACATAGTGATGCTATTTTATTTCTCAAAAACAAAAACTTTGAGAAGTTGTGTCAAGCATTATGTACCGGAAAACATATATAGTGCTTTAACAGAATTTTTGCTTTTTTTGGTTATTTCTTTTTTTAAATGTCCAAATCTGCAGCATATAAAACCAAAGTGATGAAATAATTTAAATACATTTAAAACCCAAGATAAATGTGGAATATAGTAATAGTTCTCTTAGGACCCATCCAATGGCTTTTTTTGGCACATTAAATTCTGCCTTCAGAAATTTTAAACATTTTTAAAATTATGTTTTGGAGAGATTATCATTAGCCAGTGACTATATTATCTAGCTAGAAGTGCTGTGCTGAGTTCACCTCCATTCTCTCCACTTTATTTTGAAGCTGAAATGATTTACATGCTTTCCCCAGGGGAGTGCAATAAATTAATGGGTGAAATTATTCTGTGAATCGGTACAAGTAAGGCAAGCATTTAAAGGGGTGAGCCTTACGCTTTAATAAAATTAAATAAAAAAGGTTCAAGTTTACCCATAAGTACATGAGATTGCTGCACCCGCTAGTTAAATCACACTAATTCACCTACTTTATAAAACTCACTTTTATTCTGAAGTTAAAAATCACTTCTCACATTAACACAGGAAGGCAACAGAAAAAGGGCAAAGGGATCGCAAAGTACCTTAAGTCAAGTTTCAGGCATACAAGCCTTTACTTCAAACAAAGATCTAATTTCAGCTATGCATTTACATCATGATTGCTCAATCTTGCTCTATGTATCATTGTTGACAAACCTTTACCAACGTGTGACAAAGAATGAATAGAATTGTATAGCTGGAAGTCCGAACACATTGGATGAGAGAATCCTGGGAAGTGTCATCAAAGAACATCTGAAAGGCCTAGTGTGTACACTATGTAGATCAGGGGCCCCCAAAATGTAGACCCCAAGATGTTGTAGAACTAGGACCTTCCATGATGCTTTGCATGCCTTTAGAATGATAAAGCATCATGGGAGTTGTAGTTTTACAACATCTGGGGATTTACCTTTTGAGCACCCCTGCTGTAGATTCTACACACATAATTATACATTCTCCTGGAAAATGGTAGCATTATTAAAGCATCTCGACAGAATTTAAAATTGACAGTTGTGATCTACCGGGTCAGAACATTCACTTCTTAAAGTGTAAGTGTACCCATCACTCAAAATTTTATATATATATATATATATATATATATATATATATTATATATAATTTTTGTGCTAACATTCTAAAAAGGTTTTAGTAACACATGGACATTTGCATTTCCCCGAATCCAGACTTCTGTTTCTTGATTGGCTATGTATTTTGTAGGTTTAAAAGAACCTATTTATTTAAATACATTGCCTGAGCAAACATGTGAAATAGGTTTCTTTTTGATAGGTAGACTGGAATCAAAGTAAAAAAAAAAAAGTAAAACAAATGAAAAAAACCCACAAATATTTAAAAGAGCCAACAAATTTTGGAGTGCTGTACAGTGGGGCATTCTAATTAAGTTTAAAGTGACCGTTTTTTTTTTTGTTTTTTTTTTGAAGTGGGTTGTACAATAGTATTCCAAATATTATCTACACCTAACAACTGGATCCTAAAATTTACAGCAACAAAAAAGGAGCAGTTTGACACAGAACAGAAACTATTCTTCAAAAAGAATATGACCTATTTATACTTAAAATTTAACTAAAATCGAGCAGCTTCCAGAAGAACTAGCTGCACTTGGCGGAGTTTGCATAGAGGGATCAATGTGAACCGTTAATATAGGGCAACATGCTTAGAAATAGAAGTATAAAACGAGTGAGGATCACGAGTGACCTCTGGGGCTGAGAAACGTACGGGTGGCTCCTCTCTCCTAGTCTTGATGATCTAGCATGGTGAGCTCTGGGGTGAAAAGTTAACGGAGCTTTAGGTCATCGCCACTGCCCAGACCGGAGCTTGGGTCCTGCTGCCGTCGAGCCTACACCAAAAAGAAAGACTATTTAGAGTTAACAGAGCGGTTGGTGCATTAAAAACAGAACAGCAGAAAAGGCACAAGGCACAAAAAGAAAGGTAACAGCATTTACAGGGAGAAAATCCAGGTGCAGAAAATTGAAAAAGAAAATACCCATTATTGGACTACACAAGGCTATCTCTCAATGAATCTCCCACCAGCATAATGGCATGGGGCCCAATCTCAGAACAGAAACCTGTACAGCAATCGTTCAGGTTCCCTCTTGATCCAGCACTGTAAAAGGGTATTAATACTTTTGATGTCACCAAGATATGACAATAAGGTATTGCATGCTTTATTAAGACCCTGCACAAGGTATTAGACCCCAGAGAAGCTATGTATTTACAAATGGTGTTTGTACAAATGACAGTGCAGACCTTAGATCCCTCATAACTAGACCACAAGAGATAAGATCCCATTATATAAATGGCATGACCTTATTAAGGGACGTCAATATTGTATTGGGGGTAACAAGAGGCAAGTTTTCTCTACAAAAGTCAGAAGACAAAAATAGAAGGCAAGAGCACATTATTCAGACAAACGTACTAAGCATCTTAAGAACATGTGCAAGTCTTGTGTACAGCTGGGCTACCACTAAATATGTGCTGGGCGCATTAGCAGAAAAATATATCGGAGGCAAGGTTTCTACAGACACAAGTCTGTTTACATTGTGCGGATTCCAAAACTTCTATTTCCAACAGACAGCAGGGAAAGGGATTTCACTTAAGGAAGTGGAAGGAGGAGAGGTTAATGCAGAAGTATGACAAACATAACATGCTTCGATAACTATGGTCACAAGAGGGAGCTGAAATATATTAAATTAGCAACGTTCTGTACACTGAGCTAGCAACCTTTACGACATTATCAAAGGGAAACAGGTTCAACTTGGCCTGCGATACAGACACCAGAGGGATGAGTGGGAGGAGATTTAGTAAGGCAAAAAAAAAAGCATTTTGTTCAAACAAAAAGGTGATGTCATTCTCCTGAGAATATGAGCCCTGAAGCTCTAAATAAGGAAACTGTACATAGATGGTGTTGCTTTTCACAGAATACTACAAATTGACTCTATACGTGTGACCTGAAAGGAAGAGATGGGACCCACAAACAGCCTCTGTGTTTTTGTACAAGCTCAATTTTGTTTAATCAAAATGATGAGTAAAAGAAAAATACTTAAACATTTTTTTATTGTTCTTTAAAGTTGGCTGTGCATCACTGGAAATGGGACTCAAATATGTGGGTTGCCAAGGCTAACTTAAGCATTGAAAGATATAGGGGCCTGCCCTACAATGAGCTGGGCAGCACAGTTCTACACCCACTTAGCAGCACATGCATACAGGTGTTAGTTATTTTTTCCAAGGGTACTGACCAGTTATGGGCAGCGAGGTCGTAAAACTCTCACCTCCATTTCCTCCCGGTGAGAGCGGTCTCTTTCTTCAAACTCGCGGGTTCTTCTGCGAGCTTCTTCAAAGGCTTGTTGTGCCAGAGCATCCTCGTGCTTCAAGGAAAGAGGGGGGAGGGGAGAAACCAATTAGATGCAACATGTTTGTTCACCACCCAACACACTAATTTGGTTTCTTCAAAGAAACTATTCAAATGAGCCTCTTTGCATTCTTATTTTTTCACTTTCCTCCTCACTTATGAGTAGGATGACGCTTTCTTGAATGGAATTTAAATCTGCCAGGCTTCAAAGCCAGGTATGATGTGATCAAGCTGCCCACCTGAGATGCAAACGCATGCACAAGTTCACATTGCATCACCTGACAAGGAAGCCAGAAAGACTGAAACGGAGTCCTGGGAAATATGCTCATGGATGTTCCAAACAAGGGTAAGGATAGAAGAGTCAACAAGGAGAATAGTTTGCATAAAAAGTAGAAGAAAACATGAAATGCACATAACGCACATTAAGCACACAAAAAAATAACCTACAGGAAATGATAGTGAAGATAAAGCATTATAAAAAAAAAATTATATATCTACATATCCATATTCATGAAATATTCATGAAATATGTTGCACTTGCACAGGTAAGAGCTGTAGACAGACCTTCTCCCTCAACAGATGAGGTTCCAATCAATCATTCCCCCTTCCAACTCCAGCTATTAATTTATACACAGTGGAGGGGTTCCTTCCAAAACATTGTAAAAACAAAAAACACCAGGTACAATATGTAGGGATGGACCACTTGGCAAACCTATTTTAAAGACCTAATGATGGAATTATTAAGAGGTTATCACCTCTCAAGTAGAGAAGGCAGAACAACCTGCAAATATAGAATTCTGGCAAATTCTATGATCAAACTAGCCAAAGCTTTGTGTCTCAATACCAGCCTGAGAAACAGACAAACAAGGAATTAGGTTTACCCACAAACTTGGTAGCCTTCCTATAAGGAAGTAAAATTACACAAGCTCTGTCCCTGATATCACACTGGAACAGGAACTGAACTGTAAATGGCAACTACAATACATAATACAAAGAGAGCCAACACTCAAGGATATGCAAGACACATTATTGGGCTAACCTAGATATGCAATCATGAGATCTCAGTCATTACTCCCTCTTCCACCTTTTAGGGAAACTCCCCCCCTGAGGAAATCCATAATAATAATGTGCCTTAGAATGGACCAAGCCTCCAAAAACTCACCCCTCACCAATTTTAACAGGATCAAAACCCAAGGATTCAAGGTCCAGATGCATAAACATAATGCAAATTAGGGCTATGGAGGGAAATAAAACTCCTGTAATATAATTCACCAAGATATCAGGTGGACGAGCAAGTGGTTTTAGAAATGGAAAATTGTCTGGAACATCAGAGAAAAACGTAAAAGGAAGTCTACATACCGGATAAGATATCTAAGCTGCCCAAGTGGTGTACATATTAGTGACTTTTATACACCATCTACAAACATTTTAAGAAAGATTTTAATGAAAAACTAAAAGAATTTAAATGGAAACAAAAAAAACACAACCATATGCCTGTATGGATATTTAAAAACGGTTTCCAGTAACACTTTAATAACTGCACTCTCACCTCTCGCCGTAGTCTACATCCATCAAACTGTTTCCCAGCTTGTAGACTGGGTTACTCACTAAACTCTGAATTTTAATACATTCAATCTGAATAATAAAATTTAGGCAAAATAAATGGACCCTGAAAAATGATCCAACAGAAACAGCTTGGCTATTTCTATTCCTGTCTGAATTTTGCAATTCGGATTTCATATGCCAAAATGCAGAGTTTGGTGAAAAACTGACAAAGTCCTTACATGTGGCGTCTTCAACATTACCAAAACATAGAACAACTAATTTAACTTCTGGAAATGGCAAGGTACTAATGTATTCTCATGATATCGAGAAACCAGTCAGTCATTAACATGCTCCTGTTTTTCCCCTTAACACTTAAGCCCTATTACCCAAGTCCACAGTGGTGGTGGTAATGTGTGGGTTACAAAGGATGCTCGAGTATCATGAGGAATGAAGCCACAACAATCAGTTCTGCAGTACTACAATTAACCATCAATGATTGTAAGCTCATTTGAGCAGGGTCCTCTTCAACCTATCGTTCCTGTAAGTTTTCTTTTAATTGTCCTATTTATAGTTAAATCCCCCCTCTCATAATATTGTAAAGTGCTACAGAATCTGTTGGCGCTATATCAATGGAAATAATAATAATGACCCATGGTGTCCAGATGGTCCACTTTTTAGTGGAAAAGTCCCAGCCGAACCTTTGACTCCCGTGTTTTTCCCTAAATAAAGGGTCATTTGCTTAAGCTTAAAGGGAAAGTACATTTTAAAAGCATGATAACATTTCTAATTCTATTAGAATTATCTTCTGTGATTTTTATTCACAATAACCTGATAATTTTCGGGTAAACGAGTTGGTGAGCTCCGTTGAGATATTTTACAATAATCTTGTATAAAGACCGTTGTTATTGCCTGGTCCTTTTTTTTTTATTATTTTATTCCATAACATGTATTGTTCAGATTTGGTAATTAAAAACTATTACCTGCGCTCTGTCATCATCAAATTCCAGGCAGCCCATCCCATCTAATCTCTGGAGGTCAATCCAACCTTTCCATAGGACACAAACTCCATTCAAGATCATCGGCGCCTTTAGATAAACCTGTAACGAAACCGGTTACTGTGTAAATACACAAACAATTCATTATAAAAATGTAAACACATGACACGATTTGCACGACTGGGCTACATTCACACACAGTGGCCTACTGGTGCCAAACACGTGGTGTATGCTAATGAGGTCATGAGAAATAAAAGCATTGTGTGTATTTGGTGCAATAGCAAATGAGACATTTGTTCATGCCATCAAGTCTAGTGCGCGTAAACGTATATACTAAACGTCAACATTTCTTTTATGTTGTTTTTATCCACGGCCAATTACATAGAGTAGTGTTTATACAGTACGCACATTAAAAAAAGCACACAAAAAAACTACAGGAAATGATCGTAAAGAAAGTATAAAAATAATTATATATATCTACCCATCTATCTTTATGAAAGCGGTGGCACTTCCACAGGTAAGTGTTAGCTGTACACTGATTTCCTCCATCAACAGATGAGGTTCCAATAAACCATCCGTCCCCACCCCCACTATTCATTTATACACAGCGCGGTTCACAGTTTTGTTAACAGGACGGTTTGCAGTGATTTGTCGAGCCGCTTATCATGCTGGGAAAATGGTTGTGAAAGAGTTGGGAGTTGTAATATAAGTAAAACGAGGACATGTAATTAGAAAAGAAGTGAAAAAAAACAAAAAAAAAAAAACTAAAAACCATTTCCTAAGTGGTTTTCAATGTTTAATATAAATGGTGTAATTTCCATAGAAGAAATGGTTCCTCTTTGAAGGGACCTAAAATGTGGTTTCTACGCTCTTAATGGACCTCCATTAACAAACAAGGACATCGAATGATTCCGAGCAGCTGCCCACAATATATTGTTTACTATACAGGGCCTTCCTCCCCCGAATCAGTGGAGATTACCCCCACACTGGGAAAGGTCTAATGAATGTGTTTGGATAAATTTTGCAATACATTAGAAGACAATTGAAGACAAATAGCTAATCTTACTGCTGAGCAATGTTTTTCCAAGATAATGCCAGGGGCCGAATGGTTGCTCAGTGGTTGATAGTGGGGAATTAGTCAAAGGAAGACAACAGAAAAGGAAGCGTGCTCACGGCTTGTGTGAGCGTGGAATGAAGAATAGCAGAATGAAAGGGGAAGAGGCAGTGTGCCCAGTTTGAGTGGCATTTTAAAAAGTTCATTGTGCTTACAGTGACAGCATGCCCAGACTGCAAATGGGGAAAGGGGGGCAGTGCGCCCAGACTGGGGGAACAATTCATTTGATTAGAGGGAGGGCCATACACAGAATCTGTCTCTGTGAGTACATGCACTCGTTAACAGGCATTCACAGGAAAAGGATGTTGTGTGTTCAGCCTTGCATGGCTGTGGTTTCAGCTGCGCCTGCAGTTTGTAGGATACAGCTTCCTGTCTCGATACCGTGTGATCCTGCATACTCTGCAGAAAAACAGAACAAGGCCAGGCACACAGATCCACATTAACACAGGACACACCAAAATGTACTAGCAGCCCAAAGCAGAGATATGCAATTACTAGCCAATCCTGCAGGAACGCCGTTAACACATTGCTAAGTAATAAACTGCTATCCAAGCAGATTTTTGCACAAGGGGACCATTGTGTTTGATCCAGCACATCTAAGCAGCATAAAACTTCCTGTGCCATGGAAGTGTGGAACCAAGGCATGGCCATATTGAAACAGATCTGTGAGCTAGACATACGGTGGGCCCATAAGGCCCTATAGGTAAAGGGAAGTGCAACCCCAGTGCACCATAGAGTTATAAAGCCTGGATGAAGATTGTGTGAGTTGCAGTCCATCAACAGACAAAAAAGCTACCAATTCCTGCAACAGAGGATAACATAGGATTTGTATAATTTCCAAATTAGTGGCAAAAGAACTAATCACAAAAACTTGGTAGGTAATCTTACACTCTACAGACACGTATTGGTACTAAAATCCTCATTTATTATTTGCATTGGTTTGAGGCATGGCATTAGAACTTTGTTACAGTTTTAACCGTAGATGGAGCACCAGTACCTTTTAGAATGCAAGCAAGGCATTGCAATTATGAACAATGCATTGTAGAGAAATGCAGATTTCAAAACAACTGCACAATCAGCAATTCCTTTAAAAGTATCGCAATAATAGAGCATTGTCGTTTTCCATATTATACGTTTGATGTAAAGTCTCCACTGGGTGCAGTAGTTTCCTTTGCTACATTGATTACAAGAATATATTCAAAAGTTGCACTACTGAAACCAAATTTGTTTGCATCGAAATAATGGATTGTTCTATGCATTATACGGATGATTTATCAAGGTATCAGAACATCAAGCTGCATGATGCTGGTAGCGCAATTATACCGATTAAAATGTAGTTAGCATTACTTTATTAACTCAAATTATTTGGTATTTACATGGACACAGTAAGCTATAATAATATACTTTGATCTATACGCCGGCTTGCAAGGGCTATAGAGAAATGATTTGTTCTATACATCGCTATTTTAAAACGGTACAAGATTAGAAATGAAACAGGCAGGAGGACAACAGTAGTGAAACTGAACACGTAATGAGTCATAAGACAGGAGAACACGTGCACTAATGCCAGCAGTCTTTTAAAAGTGCAAAAAAAAAAAAAAAATGAAGACATATCAACACAGAAAAACACAACAAACACACCTTACAATATGACAAACATTTTATGGACCAAGGTTTCCACGCCCCTGGTGTTTGTAAAGCACCACTTTATATTCTTGCAATACTAACTGGCAAACTGTTGCTTTTGTGCAAGTTTGTCGGTTTTAATGGGCCACTTTAAGTACCATAACAACTACATTTCTTGAGGTGGTTATAGTACTAAAGAGAGAGTGCTGGCCCCAGTTTTCTGTAAAAGAAAGAAAGGGGAAAAAAAAAAAACAAAAAAGAAAAAACAGCTTCGTTGCAGTTTGAGGACCAGAAGGTAAGGACAGGATAAACACTGGCACCCAGAGTGTTTATACCATCTTGAAAATTGAGAAGGTTAAATCAGAAGTGGTTTGAAGCAGGTGCTGCATTGCTGCCAAAAATAACAAAAAAAATATATAATCAGCATAAATCTTCTATGCAGATGTTATTAAAAAAAAACAAACAAAAAAAAAAACTACATGATCAGGTTACTGAGCGTAAATTACTACAAGTAAATTTTTACTGCTGGAAGGAAAAAACAAGCAATTTGCAAAGCTAAGTTGCAAGTGGAACCTAAATCTGTGCTCATCCAGTCACATTACTATGTGAATAAACCCCAAAATGTATTCATTGCACATTCTGCAAGATCAGGTGGTGATCAGTTTTGTGTTGCAACTAACTGTATAACTAATAAGAGGTCAGCTGACAGACGAGGTGAATGGGATCACCTTACCCTAATATTACAACCCAGTAGGGGTGGGCTATGATGAAAAGCCAAAATAGAGGAGGTTAGGTGGACATTAGATGTCATGAACAATTTGTTTCTTAGCAAACTGATTATACCACAGATAAAATCACTGGGGGAACAAGCGTTACTTAATGTTAAAGTATTGATGCCACACAGCAAGGTCTCCATCACAATTTGTTTGGTCTTGTCTGAAATATAAAATTTCCTTAGTAAGCAGGATCAGATTTTGGGGGGGATGGGGAGGCGCGGCTAGGATTCAGAGAGATCACTGATATTTGATTTATGATTATACCATGAAAATGGCAAGCACACCTTGGTGTCGATTTAACAAGCATTACAATATATATATGCATGCATTACGCAACGCAAAGTTTAAAAGGTATTTAGTGTAGCAGTGACGGCAACATCAATAGGGGTGAAAGTATTCCAGAATGCTTAGCAAGCACTTGCATATTAGGAGCGGAGGATACATCTTCTAAACGTTACATCCATTGGTACAACATGTGTCAATGAGAAGTAGAAGTTGAACATGATCTGTGAATGACGTATTAAACTATAGAGGCACAGCATTACCACTGGTTTTCTTAATGTACGAATGCTATTTGTGACCACCAAACATGCAATTGCTACTAATAGTGACTTGAGGTTCTTGGAAAGAGACTGAAGACTTAAGAATTGAAGTCAAATCTGGAATATGTAATTAGATGCCGTTCGGTCTATGGGGTTGGGATTTACCCTGATCCAACGAGGGGTTAAATTTGCCTTTTAGGCTCATAGCTTCACACTCACAGCACTGGCACACTCTATAGAACAGCAATTTCACATGGGCTTCCTGCCAAGGTCTGTAGGATAAGGGAGGAATTTAGTGAGAGCCGAATCAGAGGCAAATATTGGCTAGAATTTCAGTACTTGGATGGCAGCCTGGGAGAGACGTGTAAGTAAAACATTTACCAGGAAGGATATGTTGAGATTTTTCTCTTTTTTTTAATTTTTTTTTTTTAAAGTATCTCCCAGAGACACACTTCAATCATTAACCACGTATATACCACAACCCTCACTGGGTCTGCACACAAATCTCTCTTAGGCTCTGCTGACAGAAGTCACAAGTGGTCAAACATCACATAAAATGTCGCAGGGTCTCACACTAGATTAACGCAGCACTGTCACTTATGGGGTCTCTGCATTCATATCGCTCTGGATTGGGAGAGGAGGCATTAATGCTTATCTGAAGCTCTATGTCAGCACTGACCGTTTCCTACCTTCAGATCCCAGCATTTTAAGTTTTCAGGAACTACTGTATCTGTGTACTACTGTGCATGAAGTAGAGTATAGAGCAAGGGTCTACGGCAGACCATTCAACATTGTAGCTTCCTTCACACATCAGCCTGCGCATGCACAACGAGATGCCATAGACATTTATCTTTACACCATGTGAGGTGGCAAGGCACCAAAAGCAGAAATTAGCATTATAGTTTCATCATGTGCCATTTTGCAAAAATGTGTCTAACGCAACCAACGCACAGGAGTTGACCCTGGATTTTCTATATTCGTTTTAAGACACACCTAGACAATAGAACTATCAATAGCTTGCGTGGTGCATTTTCATTTCCCCATCAGTTTAACCGTTTTTACAGATATTTGGTTGAGAACCTAACAACGATTCTATCTTAGACTAGCAGAGATCAGTGGTGTGTGGTAAAAAGCAGGTAAAACAAATTCCTCTCTTGCCTAAAACGTCCTTCCTCCTTCCGTGGTTTCCAGAATCAGCTCCCCCAAAGGGTAGCAGCAATTGGTAGGAAAGAGCAACTTAGTTACATACAAATAGATGTCATACGCACACACACACACACACACACACACACAAAATACAGGACATGAAAGAGTAACCAAATTGAACAGATAAGAAGAGGACACAAAAAAAAAAAAAATACAAAACCTAACATTTCATTTCAGAAAAAAAGATATTAGCCACAACAGGAAATAGCTGTAAATTTTATGTGACAAGTCTAACAGTAAGGGACTGGTTAACATCAATCTGAAATGAGATCAGCCATTATCTGTGAATGCCACACAGTGGTGACTAAGAACTAAAGTGACTGTGTACAGTAACAGTCTGTGAGGGCCTGACCTTTGTCGCCCACATATAACAAATAACAAAAAACAAAAATAACAAAACCAACAGCCCTTAATAAGACACTGATAGTTAATAAAGAACATGTTACAAATAAAGAAACATGAATGGAGATTTTTGCCATTTAGATAAAGTGTTAGAATGCAATATTATAGTTTTAATTAGTGTAGAGTTTGAAGAACAATGCTTCAGAACTCTCTTCCATTCTAAACCATGTCAGAAAAGGCTGTGATGTATTTTCACTTGGGGTACACTAAAATCCAGTCCCTGCTGTCAAGTGCACTACAAAATCTAAGTTTAGCCGAATCGTGATCATTGCTTGTCACCATTCCTAGTGGAAGGACTAATAAAAAAATAAAAATAAATAAACAAACAAAATAAGCTGCTTGCCAAATTGAATTCTGATCATTTTTTGGGGTGTTTATTGGCTGTAAGATTAACTCCCCATCATACACAAAAGGACATACAAGGGTTTACTCCAAGAATCATAACCACTACAGCCTGCAAGCCATTTAACTACAGTCTGCCACCATAGTTCCCAGGGGGCCTCCGATGCCTTGTGGTGGTCCAGTGACGCACTTTCAGCTTCTGCAGAGTCACAGCTGTCATTCATTGGCTGAGAGTGTCATAGGACCACTCTCAGCTATGGACATTCTGTGCAATGAAAGCTGTACAGAATTTACATTAGCCTGAGGACACCCCAATGACACAGACTCCAGGACCACTTCCAAGTCATTGAAGTGCTCATGGTGCTTGGAATAACCTTTTCAACCCAAGTGAGATGTGTGTCATTTATTTTGTTTGTTTCTGTTCCTGCTTTATTTTCATGGGTTTCAAAAACCTCAAGGTATATTTGTTTCCAATACATTGTCTACGTTCACAATGTTTTAGAACCTGGTTTTTGAAATGTAATTTATTTAGAAAACAATCACATATGTATTTAAAAATGGTTCAAAATGGTTTAATCAAATAAAGCACCTTTCAGGAATAAAGCTCTAAAAATTGTCCAAAACACATAACACAACCCTGGAGAGTTTAAAGGGACATAAAAGCACTTTAGCTTGCTGAAAAGCTTTGTGTGAAGAATGTGTCCTATTTTTTTAATTTTGATTTCAATAGAAATTGATACTTTTAGAAATAAAACTGGTTACACACCCCAACTTTCAAGCAGGCACCCATCCGATTACTTCCTGGTTTGGTTAGCTCAGTGGAGCTTACAACTGGGTGCAGACCAAATTTTCGTTTAATCCGAACGGATTTTCATCAGTGGCTGCTCACTCTTTACTAAACATGCTTACACTTGCAGCACAGCACGTAGGGGCAGGAGGGAAGATTTCACCTCTCTTATACTAATATGGGGGATCATATTGACCCCCATAAAGTGAGGGGGGATTTCAGAAGTGGTTGGGAGAGCAGCTCTTTGCCACTTCTGTTTTTAAATATTACAAGTAGAGAGCCGCAAGTCAGTAGCTCCCTCCTTGTAAAACGAAAGAACGAATTGCAGATCGCAATTTCTGCCAACAAGCAATCCAGCCTTCGTTTCATTTGTTGTAATGTCTATTCGTTGATTCCGCTTTCAAACTAATGGAATTATAGTTGAAATTCATCCTAAAAAACGAATGCCTGAGTCAAGTGCAGCAAATTTAAGAGGCAGCAATTGCCCAGGGCACCAGCCTTGCAAAGACTTCTCATTGAGCTGCACTGTAAAGTCTGTGATAGGACAGCCACAAAAAGTCTTGGCTGGATCAGAAGGGGATGACTTGCAAACGCAGCAGACAAGAGAATTGCAGGATTTGCAAGCTGGTTTAAGATATTTATCCCCCCCCCAAAAATTGAAAAAATAAAATGTAAATGCATGCTTTTTTTGCAGTTTTCATTGTGGGTATGTCTACTAAGTAGTTTGACAGTGGAGTGTCCCTTTGACAGAGATGAGTACATTTAGCTTTTGACAAATTTCAAGCATGACATGGAAGCTACATCAGTTATGGTCTGCGAATGGATCCATTAAAAATAGCTTTGAAAAAGATTCCCCTTCAAATTGCTTGAAGCCTCTTAAAAATGGATGGGAACCACTCATACACAAGTACCATAATATATTTGAAACTGCTTACAAATTGCTGACTTCAGCCAGAGAGAGGGAAAGTGAGTTTCACAAAGGCAGAGGGAATGATAAAGGAAGGGGAAGAAGAAACAGGGAGAGAATTGTTACTGGCCCTAACAAAGTCACTTGCCATGTGAAGAAAGGGTAAAGTGATAGGGGAAAGAAAAGGTTTGCAAATACACATTCAAATAATAATGGCTCTGCACAAACATGGACACTCCATGCTACACACTAAAATAAGGTTTGATTGGTAAGATTGGACTGAAACAAACAACAGAATGGCAACAAATACCAATCAGACGCACTGTCAAGAATGCGGAGCATTACAAAACAAAATCTGCATTAGATCAGGTAACATTTTTGTTAGATCAAATTACTGAGATATTGCATATATAATTTTTGGACAAAATGTTACTGACTTTGGTAGATATTCATTAGATCAGGTTTGATGAACAGTTTTTTGTTAGATCCATCACGCAAGAGGCGGTATTCACTGAATGACTTTGTGAGCGTGACTACCGGTTGTTCCCCCGTCGTCGTCGTCCCCAACTAAAATTTGGACAAAATGTTTTATTGATTTTGGTAGATATTCGTTAGATCATGTAAAATCAACTGTTTTTTTTTCCCCGTTAGATCTATCACACAAGAGGCAGTATTCACTGGCCGACTTTGTGGGCATGAAGGGGATTAGCAGAGGTAACAGGTCAGGTTACCCGTGGTCTGCTACAATTGCGTGATAGATCCAACGAAAAAAAACGGTTGATCTCACCTGATTTCAAGAATATCCACCAAAATCAATAAAAATCATTTTAAATTTTTGTTGAGGGGGGGCTTGCTACGGGTTAGCCCTCCCTGATAATGATTGTTAATATTGCATATTTTAGAGTAGATCCAACAAAAAAAATATTTGATCTAACAAATGGAATAATAGTTTGCTAAAATTCTCAATATGGGGGGCTAATCCCGGGAGTGGTTAGCTGGTCTGGTCAATAGCCTCTTTCAACAAGAAAAAAACACGGCAAAAGTTGTTCAGGAATCGTTTGAGGAACGTGACTGAGTTCAGCGTGTTGCCTTGGCCTGCAAATTTTCCAAACCGGAGCACCTGTGGGATGTGCTGGTAAAACAAATCCAATCCATGGAGGGCCCAACTTTGCAACTTTTAAAGGATTTAAAGGATCTGCTGCTAATGTCTTGGTGCCAGATACCAAAGGACATGTTCAGAGATAGGCGGTTTGAAGGTTAATGCTTTTCAGTGTATATACAACTGTAGTGATATCCAGTGATAGGAGGCACATACATTTTAACCTGCCTGTTTGTTCATTTGGTGCTTATTTTACTTGCCCAAATTTAAATGGCGTTTCCTAAAACATTCTGCTTACTAGAAAACTGTCATAATTGCTTTTTATTGTTCTATAACATAAAGGATCATACAAAAGCTAGCCTGTGTGTATTATTTTATAATAATACACATACAGGCCATTATAATAAATCCATGCAATTAATCATGAGTTCGCGCACGTTTCACATTTTCTCTGGACATGTCGAAAATGACCTATGAACTGGTTTTAATGATAAATTATCAAAAAGTAAGTCATGGACAAGTGGTGTTTCCAACCAAAGAGTACTTAAAGATGGCTACCCACGTAAAGCCAGAGTAAGCTAAGAGATGTACTACATAAAGATATTTATCAAATCTAGGCAGTACAGACTAATACATGTAGGCTTATTTTCTATATTAATAAAAACAGTTTATTCAATTATTACACAGCCACTTTTCATACAATGAGATTAACATGGCTCTGTCCATACCTTCCCAGGTTCTCTTTCAAAGTCCACATATTCACGGGTGGGTGCTTGACGAGGTTCCCCCTGCCAGCTTGCTGGGAAAAACTGCAGGGACAAGTTGGTTCCAGTGGCCACAAATGCCTTAAAAAAAGAAAAATCAATAGAAAGCAAGTCAGAGACATCAATTATTCAGCAAGATATTTTCCCCATCACTTGATCTGCAGCCAGTACAAGAAATAAGGCTCTAGCTGAAATACAATTATTCACGGGCATCAGATAGTGCGTCCCACTGAAACAATCAAAGACACGGCATAGCTCCTACTAACACCACCACAAATTACTTGGTGTCCATTGCAATACCTTTAAAGCTATAAGCCATCTATACAATGTTTATGAAAACAAGATGATGGGTATAATAAAAAGGAACCAGAATAACACTACTTTGAAGCAAATCCTGCTAAAATGGGAAACAGAGTCAGGACATCAACCAAGATTCAGTAGGTTGTAGCCAGAATAGAGCCTACATTCTCAAAACAGTTATAGACCATGATTTAAGTTGGACACAATGGTAAAGCAGTCCGTAGGCTAAAAAACAGACTATGGCAACTGGAATCTCACAGTACATAGTTACATTGTTCTTATGGTGAAAAAAAAAACAAAAACAAAAAAAAAAACATTTCCTCAGCCTTAAACTAAATCTAATTTCTTCCAGTCTAAACGCATGACCTCGTGTCTTTTGTGTAGTTCTGCTTTTGAATAGATTTCCACACAATGATTTGTATTGGCCCTGGAAATATTTGTATAATGTTATCATATCCCTTCTGAGGTGACGTTTTTCTAAACTAAAGAGGTTTAAATTTGTTAACCTTTCTTCATAGCTAGAACATTTTACTCCTTTTATTAAATTTTGTAACCCGCCTTTGCACTTTCTAGTGCCATAATATCCTTCTTTAGTACACTGTTGTCTGTAGAATGTTGTGTTAGATGGCATGCCTCGTTGAACAATATATAATTCCCCCCCCCCCATTTTACCTGAATAAAGAAGGTACCTGATCTACGGTTATAAAATGGTTGTGCTCCTCACCGCTCTTTGAGCCCAGTTAAAATGGTGGCAGCTGCGGCTTGGGAGTGCAACTCCCATTAGTCTTGGGTAGACCACTCCGAAAATGCAAAAAAAATCAGCTGAACTGCTCTACAAATTTTAGAAATCACAAACCCTCAAATTACAGCCGCATGGCAACGGACTCCCTTTATTTAATGCTCTAACCTTAATAAAGACAAGGAAAACAGGCCATGTAAACCTGAAAAACTACACCCTAACACAAACACCCTTGCTCTATAACAATTCCCCAACCCAGAATCACATCCCGAAACTCTAACCTAGTATTGTCTCTACGCCTTTATAGCAGAAACATTTGGTTGTTTCTCACCATTGCAAGGAGATCTCTTTGAAGATAGCTGAAATCTTTCTGGCTCAATGTGGTTTCAATTCAGTCATAAGAAAATAAAATTATCAACCAAAGTGAATTTAACAGAGCTCAATGAAAGTGATAGAAATTGCCAAGGCAGATCCAGCACTTAGCGGCTAGACCGGATATTACTCTATATATTCACTAGTAATTATATTAGCATAGATTATTCAACCTTTTTTGCATGAGAAGTCATATTTGAATATTGCTCACACTCCAGAGGCTGATAAAATAAAGACAATCATTCACACAAGCAGATCATATAATGTGTGCTCCTTCCGTGTCAACTCTTAACCTGACTGAAAGAAGCAGAGAAAAGCAGGTGGCCCATAACGAAAAAGGCACAGAGATTGTATAACTGACCCCCCACCAGTAACCTTTTCACACTCACACTATTCCCCCAGGCACATCCCCATCACTTAAAATGCTTGATGATGGGTTTGCAAAACTAAAAAATAAATAAATAAAAGAAACACAACATGGTATTGATTGATGAGAGTTCAAACATATGGGATAGATACATTTTCTTTCACAACTTACCTGATGGTGACTTTCATGCATACATTTTTGTGACACTTCAAAAAGATTGGCTAAGGCGTATTGCATAATGCCACAAAAATGAAAGATTCTGCATTTGATGTTTACATTAAAACTCACAAAGAAATATATATATGTGTATATATACACATAACGTTTTTACTCGAAAAGAAGCCGTAGGGAGTTTTTCGGGGAAGAAAATAAATAAATATAAGACCCGATCTTATTTTCGGGAAAAGACAGGGGGTGGGATGTAATATTATATATATATATATATATATATATATATATATATATATATACACACATACACACACACGTGCTTATTCACGGACTAAACAAGGATTTCAAATCTCACAGATTGCAATAGTTTTATTTAAAAACACCTAGGCCAAAAAATAAATAAATAAATGGGGGGTTGCATGGTGCACTGGTCACATAGAAGATATAGTTGTATAAAAATACCAGCACGCCAAGGTTTTAGTCAATCAATCTTTATTTTAATAAATCCAGTAGTCGACATTTCAGCCCCTAAACAGAGCTTTCATATCAGGATATGTCCTGATCATTATTTTTTTTGCCTAAGTGAGGTGTTTTTAAATAAAACTATTACAATCTGTGAGATTTTAAATCATTGTTTAGTCAGTGAATAAGCGAGTGCGCTAGAGTGTGTGTGTGTGTGTATAATATATATCTCATCCCACCCCCTGTCTTTTCACGAAAATAATATCGGGTCTTATATTTATTTTTTCATACAAAATATATAAATTACATTGCTAAACACAAATACACACACCAGTCAAGCCATAACACTTGCTTTTCCCACAAAAATCTCACTACTGCAAGGGATTCTGGGTAGGCGTATGCAAATGAGCTCAACAAAGAACCACATTTTTGCCTCATAATTCCACTTTATACATGGATTCCTGGGAGTATGTGTCTGCTGTGTTCAACAGAGTTTCAAAGCTGTTGTATACAGCAGACACATACTCCAAGTATTCCATGTAATAAGTGGAATTATGAGGCAAAAATGCGGTTCTTTGTTGAGCTCATTTGCATACTCCTAACCAGAGTTCCTTGCAGTAGTGAAAGCACTTGAGATTTCTGTGGGAAAAGAAAGTCTTATGGCTTTACTGGTGTGTGTATAGCAATGTATTAACTATAGATGGGGTTTTCATCCAGACTTCCCCCCCCCCCACCACGAGAGAGAGAGTGTGAGAGTGTGTCCCAGTAGCCCCCTATAATATATGCATGAACATATATACACACACATACCCCTCCTCCATCCATATTTTCCCAAAAATAAAACCGAGTCTTATATTGATTATTTTTTATTTCTTTATTCCCCTCCAAAAAAACGCACTACAGCTTATTTTCGGGGGTAAACGGTAGCAAGCATATCTACGTTCAGAGGGAATTCCCCCAAACATAGGCCAGTTCACTAGCGTATGGAATCCC